TATCTTGGAACCTATGCATTTTGGAAGAATATTGAAGAGGAAAAAAAGTTTTAGAATTGAATTTTACACAATATGGTGTAAGTTAAAAATGTTTAAATTTATTACCGATGTTGCAAAATAGCAGTAATTGATGAAAAAAAGGCAAAATAATCAAGTTTTTTGGATAATTTTTTAAAAATATTTTAATTGCTCCGAGGGCATTCTAATTTTGATAAAAAAATTTTTAAAGTATAATAAAATAACATAGCAAATTTCATTAAAATCGGTTCGATAGTTTTCGCAATATAATTTTTTGAAAAAATTTTGAAAAAATTTTTCGAATTTTCAAAATGTTGTACAGTCTCAAATAAAGCATCTACATACTTGAAAATTTTTTCACATAGAAAAGACGGCTCAACCTTTCAAATGGTTTTTAAAAAATTGAAATCGGTTGATTAGGACGTCCGCATTAAATTTATAAGTTGCGTAACTAGATTTTTTGTATCGATAGACTTCATTTGATACGATTGTTTGTTAGAAACATTTTTACCTGTATTAGCTTAATACCTTGAAAATAAATTATAAATAGGGTACGCAAGCTAATAATAAAATAAAAAAAAAATTCCACATATTTGCATGTTTAGGTAAAACAATTTCTTTCGATTATTGGGAAAGAGTGACACAATATTTAATAAGTAGGTATAATATATTTTATAGTAAAGGAAATGTGGTCAATAGACTCAAATGTCGACATGGCTTAATCCCTCCTTTATTATTAGAGATAAACCCATCAAGATTCTGTTGTTGATTATACCTGCCCATACATTAACTTTTTGTGGATGCTGCGTATGCGATTCGCATGTACAGTGTGGATTTTCCTGGGACCAAAAGCGATAGTTGTGCCTGTTAACCACTCCATTTAAATAAAACGTAGCTTCGTCCGAAAAAAGTACGTCTCGTTGAAAACCATTATTGTCGTCACACCGTCTCATCATTTCCAAAATTTTAATCGCCTATCATAATCGTCTTCCAAAAGCTCTTGGACAAGACATACCTTATAGGGGTGGTATTTCTGTTGTTTCAGAAACAGTTGAAGTATGAGGATTTTCATTTTCAAGTTCTAATGCAATGTCTAATTTCTTTTCTTCATTCAAAGCACGCGCCCGTCCAGTTTTGGGCAAAGTCTGTACTGTACCGTGTTCCTCAAATTTGTGAAATATTTTATTAACTGTCCCTTGCGAGATTTGGTTTTCGGGACATTTCGCATTAAATAAATCGCGCACTTCAGCCTGACTTCTTATTTTGTCTCCACATCCAAGCAATATCAAGATTTCGATGCGTCGTCTTTCCGACAATACGATTGTAATTCAGTAAATAACTTGATTTTGACGCAATAGTAACGTTTCGAACTCCAGTTTACAACTAAAGCGAAAAATTATCCAGAAAGCCTGGCAAGTAAGTGCGGTGCCAAAGAAACGCTACATAAAAAATATATCTTTTTTGCGTTAGTAGCGATAGGTAGATTTTCAAATTCTTTATTTTATTCTGTGCAAATTCATGCAGGATAACACTGAAGATAATTTTATTTCACTTGTTAAGTAGGTGTTTTATACAACCCTAAAAACCTTGCTATTGAAAAAAGAAAACTTGTTTATTTGGTATGGCTGGATTCGGTTTTCTATAAGCTTTTCAACGAGCCCCCTCATGCCCTATGTTTCCATTTGAAAAAAAAGTAGGAGTAGCTGGGGGTTAGGGGGTTGGAGAAAAATTAATTATTATATAACCGAAAGATGGGAAAAAATCAAAATCAGTTAACGTATTTCGGCGTTTAAAATAAAATTAACTCATTCAAAAGATATGAATTTTATTCCGTACTTCTGGCCATCCCTGTACAGGTTATTCTGCTGAAAATCAGAGGTATATTTATTTTGACACCTTTGCAATATTCATTTATTTGAAATGATACAAACAAAATTATAAAAAAAAATTCTTAGAAATGCCAGTACGAACGAAAAGCACTGATCGAATTGGCGGAATGCCTAATTCTGAGGCTGCTAATGGGATTGACTCCCAGTATCTCCGCTAATGATGGACGTATCTTTAAGCTAAATTAGTATTTTTTTCTAATTGGATTAATCAGTGGCTCAAATTTTATCAGTTTACTATAAATACCTTCAGAAATATTTCAGAAAATGTGAGCTCTTTTAATCTCAACTCCCCGAAAACGAATCGAATTACGACTCATGTTCAAAGTTCCGTCTTTGTAAGCTGTGCGGATGCGCGGCAGCGCACTAATTTTTCGAAATTTGCACAGCTGTTTTTGTATTCTGCACACAATGGACTTGTTCGCCATTTTCAAACACAGGCACAGGACCCCCCTGCTTGCACACTTTTACATACGTTTTGAACATTTTTGCTCCCATAACTTTTGTATCGCGCAGGCAGTGGAAAAATTATAGGGAACTTTGCTCATGTTTATGTTGTATTTGCTTAAAATAGTTTATTTATCATCAGACGAGGTTTCCATAACTACACAACCCTGTATATTGTCAGCAAATATGGAAAAATGCAAACTTATATAAGGTGTGTAGTGCTTTTGCTTTCTTTCAGTAAGTATTTATTATTATTATTATTTGTCACAGAAGTAACGTCATTTATTCAGGGACAGCTCATTAGATATATCTAAATTAAATGGGATAATTATCAAAAATAAAGAAATAAATATTTACAGAAATTCACCCGGTGGGATTTCCAAAATAAATTTTCACTGATTTTATAAAAAATAGGGGTGGCGAGGAGTTAGAACTCCCTACTCGCTTCTCGTATAACAGCCTTTCACTTTTTTTCTTTCATTTTAAAATTATGAGAACTTTTAGGTCGTACCTATAAAATTTTCTAATTTTCTTGGCCTCATTTTTTAGGTTTATGGTGGACAAACAATTTTAAAACAGCTACATATTTTTTTTTAAGTCTAACCCTTTATACTTTTGTAAAAAAAGATGGAATAGAATTTTACCTTAACCAGAATAATTGTGGTTCATAGCATAGATGCTATTTTATTTTATATGGGATAAAAAGTGTAACATCTGCATAAATATTCATCTGTTTATTTTTGGATGGTTGGAATACGTTAAAAAACATTTAGGAATTTCCACTTACAATTAGTCAATATACAAGGTGTCCCAGAATATGTGGGCAATCTCTCAGATTTATAGGACGTTAAAATAACATAACAAGTTCCTATAAACATTTTCCATAAAGGATCCCCTGAAAATCGATTTTTTTAGTAACTTTGTCTAATTTTTGTGTATTGTTATTGTTTGTCTATTTTTAGGAAAAAACACATGTAAATAAAAGTGACATTTTTTTAGATAAGCACAGAAAGAATGGAAATTTCATCGGTTTACTTCTCTTAATAAAAATCATATTAAATAAAAATAGTTTTGTCTCGAAAATAGTTCATTTTTAAGGTTCAAGAATATCTAAAAATATTATTTTTGTGTAACTTAAAGAGTGTAAAAAAATTAACATTATTGTGCTACAGCTAGTGAGCTAGTCCGTCCCTGGCAAACCAAATAAGCCCAATTGTTTTCATGGGTCAATTTTTAAGGAGTTTTATCATTCCATCGTGTAATTAAATTACACAAAGTATTTTAAAAGTTATTACAAAAAAAAAACCGTTTCCAGGGGCGCCTATTAGGAGCCTGTATGTCAGTAGGAGGGCCCCCTAGGGAAATTTTTTAAAGGGGCTTGTTATGTTATTTTAATGTCGCCTTATATCCGAGAGATTGTCCACATATTCTGGGATACCCTGTATGTAGGTATATCAGAAACAAATTAAAAAAGTATTTCCTGTAAACGATTTCATATTTTGAAATATGCTTTACTCTTTTCATACATTCATTCATATTAGTGTATTGTACCTATATTTTTATTTTACTGAAATTGTTACAGATTGCGGTTTGTATTGTTTTATATAATTTTAAATGCATTGGTGCGTTGGTGTAAATAATTTCTTGATCGTTTATGATTTTATTTAAAAGATTTTAACAGTATGATGGTTAAAATTTGCATCCTATAGGCAATTATGTTCTGTGATATTTCTATATTACTTTCAAAAATTAAAAATTTAAAATACACAGGTAATATATTAGCATACTATAGGCAATTATGTTCTGTGATATTTTTAGTAGAATAAAATCTGGTTTTACCACATAAAAGAAATTTGTTTAGATATTTCGTCAAATGAAAATGGAAGCATCCTGTATTACTTTTAATTTATTATTAATAAAGAGAAAACTAGAATTTTTTATTTCATCATTAGACAGTTTAAACTCATATCAAATTAAAATATCAAAATTTACGATAGTTTTATTAAATTTTTCCCGCATAAAATCATTTTTGCTTTAGATTAACTGGTAAACTGAACTACCATTGTGTTGTGCAATTTAAATTTCCCGCTTATAGAGGTATTTGAACTTGCATACCATTTGGCAAACATCATTCCATTCTAGTCGTTATTTTTGACAGTTCAATAGGTGATCTAATAAAGATGGTAAGGAAATTACTATATTTTAATTATTTTTTGATTAATTTGCAAAATGTGATAGATTTTTACTAAATGAATATCATTTTTTTGCAGGCTAATTACTCAGAAGATCAGATGGCCGGTAAGTACTGCAAAATCGAAAATCTAGGTTACGTTGCCCCGCCTCTTCTTTTTTCTCCACGTCTCTCATGTTTATAAATTTATTTTTTAAATCAATTTGTTGCTAATTAAGGTATATTTACAGTAGAAATTAATGCATACATAAACAGAATGGGGTTTAGAAATTGTTCTCACATCGATTTGGTTCCACAATAAATTTAATTCTCAAAATTCTTTGATATAAAAAGAAACGGAGAATGTGGTAGGTTATAAAATCCTTATTATGAATCATGCTCCTGAATTCAACCATATATGGTATGATTTTGAAAGTTTTTGTGGTTTCATTAATGACTTGTTTGGACATAAACAGCAGATGTTCATTTACAACTCGGTTACACTGTTGTATTTGTGTAAGAAAATTCCGCTTGGACAGACATGTACCTTTACGAGCCTCCCAGTAAACTTACTCTGACTTCAGTAGAAGGTTGAAATATTATATTAACAATAATAAATGTCGATGGGAATTACTGACTATATTTGTTTTGCAGAATTTCAAGAGGCTTTCCAGCTGTTCGACAATCGTGGCGATGGAAAAATTCATGTTGCTCAAATCGGAGACGCACTCAGAGCTTTAGGACAGAACCCCACCGAGTCTGATGTAAAGAAATATACTCATCAGCATAAACCCGATGAAAGAGTATCATTTGAAGTATTTTTACCTATATATCAAGTGAGTGTAATATCATTCTTACTGTGCCAAACTAAATAATATTATGTTTAAGTGTGATTAAATTGTTGTATTCCTAGCAAATTTCTAAATCGAGGAGTGCAGATACGGCCGAGGACTTTATTGAAGGCCTACGTCATTTCGACAAGGATGGTAACGGTTACATTAGCTCTGCCGAACTTCGCCATCTTTTAACCACATTGGGTGAAAAACTCACCGATGATGAGGTAAGTGTTATAATATTTAGTAAAATTTGGGTTTAGTACTATTTTTGTGTATTTATCATGGGTAATTACTAAGTTTAGATATTTTTGGTGTTATCTGAAGTATTCCTGTTTATCTGAATTTTATATTATTGTTTTGTGGCAGGTAATAAGTAGATAACATTTAATCTACAGCAGTAATGACTCAGTTCCCTAAGCACTCCATTCTTTTTATTTGATTTAAAAATTACACTCCTAATATTTGTATTGGGTGAATTAAACGTTGGTGAATTTGAAGCAATGTATTTACGTTTGCACATATTACCATAAAATTAAATAATGTAGCAAACATTTGACTTGCATATTCTTTCTTGTATGAAATTATTATTTAACTAGCAATTTAAAAGATATAAAAGTGAAATAAATTTGACACAGATTTATTAATAAGGAGAGAAAGAGGAGGTACTTAAAGATTTCTGTAATAATATCTGTAGTCTAGTATGTTACAAGGTTGATGGCAATGACATATGATTCAAAAAGAAATTTTTAAAATCAAATAGCAATTAGTGTAACGAGTTATTAATGAAATGGCTTGTACAGTTCACTTTACATTTTTTTATGTAAACCTTATAATTTTCATTTGAGAAAAATACAGGGTGTTACACATTAACAGGTCAAGCAGTGAACCACATATTCTTTGGCCTAAAATAATGGGACTTTTGTTATGCCACTTTTCATTTCGGAGCCCCATTTTCAAAATACTGGGTGTCAAAATTAAGATTTAAAAAGTGATTTTTATTGATAACTCCGGTGATTGTGGAGATATTTATTTGAAATTTAGCACATATTTTGATCTGAAGTCGGCACACTTTTTATGTAATTTTGGTTTAAAATATCAAAGCGCGAACGGAGGGGAGGGAGGTTGCAATATCCATGGACCCCCTATTTTTTTTTAAGTACGACTATGCCTTCCGAATATTTTTTTAAGATAAACTGGCGTTTTATTCTATTTTTTTCATTCTTGGATTATTTTTATTTGGGCCTCGTTTACGAGACATTGTAAATTTTTCGGATACGTGACATCAATTTAGTCGACGTTAGAGTTTTATGAAAAATTTCTTTTATCTTTATAAACAACAGTTAAAGAAATGAATAGTATTAGGTAAAGAGCACTTTAGGCTGAAACCACATATTTTGTTTTGGGGCTTGCTGTACGAGATTTGCAACTTTTTTTAGATATCTAAAGATTTAGCTCAAATTAAGTATCGCTGATCAAGATGATGATCATTTTCATTTTATCCACTAAATTAAAATAAATAAGACGACTCAAATCTTTCATATAGCCCCAAAAAATAAAGTCTAACTTCGACTAAATCAATGTTCCGTATCCCAAAAAGGTTACAATGTCTCGTAAACGAGGGCCCCAAATAAAAGTCTTACAAGAGCGAAAAAAAAATAGAATAAAACGCTGCTTTAGACTTTATTTTTTGGGGCTATATGAAAGATTTGAGTCGTCTTATTTATTTCAATTTACTGGATAAAATGAAAATGATCATCATCTGTAATATTTTAAGAATAATTTTACCTTTATATTAAAATAAATTAAAGAAGAATTAAAGTTGTAGGATCATCACAAACAAAATATTACTATATCAAAAAGTAACAAATTTATGTAGGTTGTAAGCGCACCAAATTTTATTTAAATTGAACCAAACGTTTTGGAGTTACTAGGAAAATATTTTAAATAGAATTTAAAAAAAAAACTTTTAATATAGTTTAATTAGTAGAGTTAGAGCAATAGTAGAGCTCAGTTAAATCATCTTATCACCAAGAATTTGTGGCAGTTCCATGTACGACGAATATTGTGGCACCTTGTATTACTAATTGTAATATACAGGGTGTAACGGATGCTGATGGCCAAACTTCAGGGGGTTATTATACAAGTAATTTTCAACAAAAAAGTATTATAAGATTTTTTTGGAAAGTTGATAGTTGCTCTTTTATTTAACATTTTTTGATTTTAAAAAATGTGCCTTTTTTCATAAAAACAAAAATATCTTATTCTTACAGCCACATCAAATTTAAACATCGGAAAGAGCGTTAAATTTACTACAAGACGAGCATATATGAGTGTTTAAAAAATCTTCTATACTAGGTGCTGTAAAAAGTTAAATGTAATAATTTTGATATGAGCAAAATTAGTGGTATCTCCTTATTTATGGTAATGCCAAAAATTTGTTAATGAGGACGTGTTTTTTCTTCAGCAAAAACTACTGTATTTAGTAAGTTTTTCAATGATATATCAACTTTTGAGTTTGCTATTTTATTGTAAAATTGCGGATCTCTGCCCTATCACGATCCAGTAAACTTTGAACAGGGGTCAAATGAAAAGGGTGAAGGTTGTTCCTTCTGAGACTTCTGTGAACTGACGTATGCGAAATTCTCCCAAGTTGTATTGCTGCCCTGCGTGTACTTAATGTGGGAATTTCTTCAAAAAGCACTGTTATAATTTGGTCTTAATGACGATTTACTCGATTGACATTTAGACGAACACTAAAGTAATTTTATGACTTTTTTCACAGCCGCCTTGGCATTTATCTATCATGAAAGACACATTCTAAACAAAAACACGTTTGTAACAATATTTCAGATTATAGTAGAAAGAGGGAGAGTTAAAAAAACGGCTTTTTGAAGAAGCTCCCATAAAAACTACACGCATGGAGTAATACGAACAGACTTAAAATAAAAATAAAGTACTATAAAGTTTGTGTATTTTCGATTTTTACGGTTTTATTACCTTTGCCCTTGATATTGTTGTCAAAAAAAGTAGCAAACTCAAAAGTTGATATATCGTTGAAAAGCTTACTAAATACAGTAGTTTTTGTTGAAGAAAAAACACGTCCTCATTAACAAATTTCTGGCGTTACCACCAATAAGGAGATACCACTAATTTTGCTTATTTCACAATTATTACATTTAACTTTTTACAGCACCTGGTATAGAAGATTTTTTAAACACTCATACAGGGTGTCTCATAATTAGCTGCCAACCCTGAACAGGCCGATTCTATGATCAAAACTAAGTAAAAAAGTTCATATGAACTTGGGTCCGGAAATGCTTCCTAAGGGCACAGGGACCCATTGAAGAGGGAGGAATGGAAATAATTTTTTTGCAATATCTCTCAATCGCGTTGTGATAAATGAATGAAATTTGGTATACACAGCTAAATTTTGATGAGCAATTTGATGGACTAATCCATTTATTTCCACAAGGTCCATTGGGGTGGGTACGGGGGGGCCCTTGGTACTTTGCGTGTGTAACTTTTTCATCTTTGACTTTTTAACAAATTGGACAGCAAATTCCGTTTTCCCGAACTGTTTTACGTTAAAAAGGTACTCTTGTTTCAAATCGTTATCTTTAACGGTTTCTGAGAAAATCGCTCTTGAATTAATCCCACTTTGGTCAATTTCATAGTAATTTAAACAAAAAATAATAATAATAATTTTCCTTTCATCTCTTTTCCATTTAAAGGATTAATTTTTATTTAATTTAATTTTTTATTATTATTTTTTTATTAAAATTAGATTAAATTTAAACAAAAAAATTTTTTTTGTTTAAATTTAATGTGTACTTTAACCAAGTGTTTCTTCGTATTATTACAACAATTAACAATAAAACAAATAAAATACGTAATAATGATTTAAAGTAATTGTTCGAAGAATCCACTGTTGACACTGATACAAGTTACACGTTTTCTTCGAGATATTCGAGTTTGAAACAACATATTGAGATTGCATCTGACTTCGTTGGCAGCGATTTTTATTCTTTGCCACAACTCTTCACACGAGCCAATATATTCTTTGTAAACTATATCTTCCTTTCGAGACCAAATAGAAAAATCAAGAGGATTGAAGTCCGGACTTCTGAATGGTCAAGCAAAAATGCTTACATGGCCAATCCAGCGATTTGGAAAAACTGCATCTAAATATTCACACTGGCCAACAAAAATGCGGTGGAGCTCCGTCGTTCATGAACCACATGTCTCTTCTTAAATAAAGTGGAACTTCTTCAAGCCGTGGAAGCATTTTTACTTGGCTACCCAGAAGTCCGGACTTAAATCCTCTTCATTTTTCTATTTGGAAGAATCTATTGGTTCGTGTGAAGAGTTGTGGCAAAGAATACAAATCGCTGCCAACGAAGTCAAACGCAATCCCAATATGTTGTTTCAAACTCGAAGATCTCTCAGAAAACGTTGTGTAAAGTGTGTAAATGTCAACGGTGGATTCTTCGAACACTGACTTTAAATCATTATTACGAATTTCATTTGTTTTATTGTTAATTGTTGTAATAACACGAAGAAACACTTGGTTTGTTTCGCTTTTAATTTCTCGTATTATCAAAACATAGTGTTCGTTAAATCGATTTTTCTCGAAAACGGATCGAGATACCGAAATGAAACAAGAATACACAATTAATGGAAAAATGATTGCTCTTTCAGGTTTTGAATCAAGTTTCATGTTAGACATACAGGGTAAAAAGTTATTAACTAAATTTTGGGTAAAATTGGTCGTAAGTGGCTCCCTCTATGAGCAATGCTGAAATTACAACACGCATCTTATATTTTGTTGCAGTCTTTGAAATTATTTTCTATCACGCGAGCTCGCTATGGGACCTATAGTGTAGGGGGTTAGGTGCACGGGAAAGTGCTAGATAGTACAACAGCGTGATGTTATTTTCATACCGCAACGCTGGAGCGTTGCCAACATAATACGAACTTTAGTCAAAAAGACTAAATGAAAGTCATAGATTGAGGCTAAAGTCTGTTCTATTCAGAATCGTTTGCGTAACTTTTCGCCCTTTTGATAAAATACCTGACAATTTTTTTTTGTTTCTGTAGTAATATTGTTAAATAGTTTGTCATGCATTCCATTAATCTTTTTTTGTTGATAGGTTGAACAGCTGTTGCAGGGTCAAGAAGACTCTCAGGGAAATGTGAACTATGAAGAGTTTGTCAAACTAATTATGTCAGGCTAGATATCTTAAATTGTATGCCAGCAAAGCATTTATTATAATTTATTAATTTAAATTTTATATCCACGATGTTTGAGTTTTTTTATATTTTATATAGTGCCTTCATTCCAATTTTATACCTATTAATCAATCTTGGCATTTTAATGTAGTCATTACGTTTAAGTTAATAAAAAAAGTCATTTGTATTTTGCTTTATTACCTGTTAACTCTATGTCTGAAATATATGTGACGAGAATCATATTCTTAAAAAAAATATTTCCAGTGGGTGTAAAGTGTTAAAAAAGTACCTATTCCAGAAAATTGGTGGATTTAAAAGATTGGTAACAATTTGTTTGAAAATCTAGACATTCAAGTACAATAGGATTCAAATACAAAGAGACAAAGAAAAGAATGGGGAAAGGATATCTATAAATAATTCATGTTGTAAATTTTTTATGCTGAATAAAGAAGTATATCAATTCTGCATTTATTACAAAAATTGCTTTATTAAAGTTTTACTGCACTGTTCAGCAAGTTAATTTCTTGTAATTTTGTTGTCGAGGTTGCTGCTCTGTATCTTTGCTGATGTAGCAAAAAAATATTCTCCCTGTAAAATATACTTACTATAAATAGTGACATTTTCAAACCGCAAAATAGAGATCTTGGTATGTTAATTTCTGGATAATTGGTGTTGGCAAGTAGGTTATTTTCCAGTGGCAGCTGGTGCGGGGGGCTCTGGGGCGCCGCCCTCCGCAAAGCATTTTTCATAGTAAAAAAATTTAATTTAAAATTTAGTTTACAATGTTATCTACATAATTAAATATAATATTAGTTTTATGAAACACATTAGAAAACGATAAATTTGTAATGTGCAGTCAATGTAACTCGACTTGTAAAATTCGTTTGCAAAACTGAATATTTGAGCTCCTCGTAGCTCACCTCTACATTTGTAGTGGTTACAGCGATGGTCATGGTTACCGTTGTGCAGCAGTTCGAGTGGGAGTAGCATATATTTACTTTGCAGTTTGGTCTGACCATAACCAAATAACTATTCACTGCCCTTTTTTTCTTATTAAACGTAATTTGTTTGTGTGTGGTGTAAAATTTTGTTACCTATGTTGTTACGCCTCTTATGTGTTTTTAAAATATTGTGAAAGTTTAAATTGATTGTAGCATTTGCAAAAATACCAAACTTTAATTTAAAAGTAATTGAAAAGTTTATTTCAGACAAAAGTAGAATAATAGACTTTCACTATAAAAAAGGAACGTTGAGTACATTCAATAGTACTTAAAAATAAAACTACCCAATTGCATTTGATTTATTTTTTCAATACTCTGTACCTAAATTTTTCTGTCCTCCCTGGTATGGAAGTCAAGAGCTGCCACTGTTATTTACCCAAGTCAAAAGCCACCAAAACTAAACAGGGTTAATTTTGTAGCTCAAAAAAAATAAAAAAAAATAGTATTTGATCATCTATATGAAGGCAACCCGTTCTACAGTCCTGTGTAATGAAAGTAACAGCAATTTGATTTAGCAGGTAAGAATTCAAAGGTCGCAGAAATATTTTAGTTTGATTAATTTTTGCTCTGTCTAATGCATTACGAATTTTACAATTAATATTAAACATTGTGTTTAATATATGCAGGTCCAAAAAAAAAAAAATTGTTGGTGTATTAAGGATTAGCTAATAAAATTATGTTATGAGCTCTGTGTAACAAATTAAAAAGAAGTTTCATATAATTAACTCGGAAAATGCTTCTTTTTCAAGATATATATTTTTCAACCACTATGATGCACAACTGGCATAAATTTTAAGTCATTTCTAAACATTTCAATCTCAATTTTATTATTTTAAACAGTGATTATGACGTTGGGCTTGTTGAAATTTATTAGATGCTCGGTATTCTATGCAGATAAATACTGGATGTTGCAATAAATAACGCATTTTTCTTTAACTCCTCAAAAAAATTCATTTTATCTAAACTTTTGTTAATAACTTCAGTTTGAAAGAAGATACAAGGTTCCGGCTTGCGACATTTTTTTCGTTATTTTATGTGTAAAAACACCACAAAATAAAAAAGGTACATTACATTTGATTTTTTTTTGAAAATCGATAAAACTCATTTGGAAAACAAGGGCAAATGACGGTCTATTTATTTTTTAAATTGAAATTCAATTCAAGGTTATGATTAAGTAATCAATTGCTTTTTCAACAAGCCCAACTTCATCGAAATCGGTTTACGTAATCCAGTTATCTTACTTTTTGTCATAGGAAATAATTTCTACCCCCCTTCCTTTATTTTTTAAGATGGAGCAAAATTTTTCCAACAAAAATTTTGAACAATGAGTAGAAGACCTCGAAAACATTAAGGTGCACCTATCTTTCCATTTGATTTTTTAAAAATAAAGCAGTTTTTTACTTTTATTTTAGAAATGCGCCTTCTAGCGGCCAAAATTAGAAGCTAAAAATAATTTTATTGAATTTTTAGTGGCCATATTAGTCATTTTTTTTTCCAAAATCTATAGAACAAATAGTTTTCGAGATATAGCTGGTCGATGATCTTAATGGGACACCTGGTATATATATTTTCCTGATTACTCTAGTGGAATTGTTGTATTAATATTTTCAGTAGTTCAGTCATCGTTTTAATTTTCAGGAGAAGTATTCACCTATTGTTATAATCTCATAATGTTGAAAAAATAAAACAGAGAGGTACAGTTAATTGCTGGTAGACATTTATTAAATATTGTTTATAATATAACATCAATATAGTAATATGATATGTATAGTATGATATGTATCAATCTCGTACCATCGAGAATTTTTGCACCCTATTGCAACAATGAAGCTTGATGAAAACACTTTCAAAATCAACCTTGTTACTTTTGTACAAGTCCCCCACTTTCCAGTAAGTCTGTGTCCGTTTTGAAAGGGCTTCCAGTCGCTGTTCACATTAAATCATCACAGATAGACGGTTAAAAGTCAAAAGTTAGAAATATCTCTGTAAAATATAATCTGTGCGTCCTCTACAAGAAGTACTCCACATTTATAATACACGCATTTGCATGCTTCTTCTCTATGAACTACTCGATATGTTTCATCTATACGTCTAGGCCAGAAAGTTTGATTGAAACCTTAAGTTCTATGTAAATACCTCAGCCAATATTTGTCTAGATAATTATATGTACGTATGTCACAATACTTAGTAGTTACGTAGTACGAATTCCTTTGGAGGGCTCAAAATCATCGGAGAATCCCAACAAAATCCAGAATCTCGTAAATATACTTGAAACAAAGAGATGAAGTAATTCGTACCAAGTAGTTTTAATGGAGTAATGTTATAGTTTAAATGTACAGATTTGTTAGTGTTTATACGTTTAGTGCATAGGTCTTTTGTAGCTGGTTAGACCTGTGAGTCTCTTCTCACCAGCGGTGTGCTGGATAGCGTTCTTGATTTGGTCGGATGCTACTGGTCCTATGCACACCAATGGGTCTTTGAAGTAGGAGCATACCTGTAAAAGACAATGGGAATCACTTTCATGCTAAAAAGAAAGTATATTGTTGGGACGAGTTATACATTAAACCACTTTTGACCAATTCAGGAAATTTGTCATAAAGTTGTCATAATTTATTTACTATTTGTATATTCTATTATATCTTATTAGTTAAAGTTATAAACTTTTAGAATAAAAAACATGATAATAGCGAAACATAAACCATAACAGATACTTATGACCTAAGTTAAACTAAAGCAACGGCAATAATAAATGCCTACATCGGATGGAGTTGAAAAAAGGGAAAAATTTTTTGTTTTTCATTTTATGAAGAAGTCATTTTTGTTAAAAAATTGTTACCAGAAATCTAGGTACCTACCCACTAAACACGAAACGTAAATGAAACGTTGCAAATGAGATTGTTTGGGGTATTCTTATGGACTGTATTTTTGATTATTTTTAATAACTTAACACGTTTTTTGTTTAACTGATTTATTTTGCTTTAAACGAGAACACACAAAACGTGCAACCCTTTACAACGGCTTGTAGGTTACTGTCCGGTCCCACGCCTCCCACTAGGCACAGTGCCTTCATGTAACCGCGCATGAGCAGCGGTTGGCGGGTTTTCTTACAATTTAAAAATACACTTAACATGCCGCCGGCCTTGACAACTTTAGTAAAGTTTCAACATAAATATAGATACAAACAATAAATTGTTTTACAAATAACAAGTAATACGAACATAAATGTTGTCAAGGAAACATATGGAAGATCATGTTAGACATTAATATTAAGTAAGTATAATATGACTGTAAGAAAATGAATACAAATAAACATATATTTTCATTTTTCAGGAATCGTCAAGAGGAAGCGGACATAACTTAGATAACGATCGCTTGCACTCACTTGTACCGCACTTCACTGTCACTACTCGGGTGACTCCGTCTTTGCCTGGATGAAGTTGGACTATCCTTCCGAGACGCCACATCTGAGGAGGTAAGTTGTCTTCTTTTTATTAGTGCTAACGTTCCATTTTTAATGGGAGTTGTAGTCTTGTTCCATTTACTTCGCTGTTGTAACTCATGGATATACTCCTTAGACCAAGTAGACCAAAAATGTTGTACCATTTTTTGAATGTGTTGGAATCTGCTTAATCTGTTTTCAGGGACGTTTAGGAAATTTGGATCAGGAATGGAAGTAAATGATCTGCCGATTAGGAAATGTGCAGGGGTCAGCACTCCAAAGTCGTTTGGATCTGTACTTAATTGAAACAAAGGTCGTGAATTTAATAATGATTCAATTTGAGTAATCAAAGTTGAAAAATCTTCATAAGTCAGATTAATGTTTTTAAGAATTCTTTTTAGGTGATGTTTCATGCTTTTGACTCCGGCTTCCCATAAGCCTCCAAAGTTTGGTGAGTATGGTGGTATAAAGTGCCACTCAATACTCTCATTTGTAGCATAATTAGTAATAGAACTTGAATTATTTTTTAAAAATTCTCCTATTTTTTGCATTTCATTGTTTGCACCAATGAAAGTTTTGCCGTTGTCACTGTAAACCCTTGCCGGTTTGCCCCGTCTAGCAATGAACCTTTTGAATGCTGCTAGAAAAGCTTCTGTAGATAGCCCTGTTACCAACTCTAAATGAATCGCTTTCGTTGCAAAACAAATAAAGAGACTAATGAAACATTTCGTTGTTTTATTTCCTCTGCCTTGTTTATCTTTTAGTAAGTAAGGACCTGCATAGTCTACTCCGGTACAATAAAAAGGATATGTCATTTCTGTGCGCTGAGGAGGTAATGATCCCATAATAGGATTAATTGACGTAGGTTTGCATCTGAAGCATGTTATACATTCTCTTGTAATCTTTTTTGCAAGTTGTTTGCCACCGATTGGCCAGAATTGTTCGCGAATTGAACTAAGTAAAAATCGTGGACCTGGATGACATAATCTGATGTGCATATCACGAAAAATAAGATTTGTAAAATGATGTTTTTTAGGTAGTAAAATAGGATGACATTTATCATATGTAAAATTAGATTGTTGTAATCTTCCACCTACTCTCAAAATTCCTTGGTTATCTAAAAACGGTGATAAATTTAGGATGCCACTTTTAATATTTATTGACTTATTTTTGTTTAAATTAATAATTTCTTGATGGAATTCTGACAATTGAACTATTTTGATGAGATTTGTAAGTGCGTTATTCAATTCACGTACAGTTAAAGGACCATAATTTCTGTTTACCCTTTGTAATAGACAATTGTTTTTGAATCGTAAGCATAAAGCTATTATTCGTTTTAAATGATTTATCGAAGAATAATTTTGAATTGGAAAAACATTTTCTCTTTCAATTGTAACTAGTGACTGTGGCAGATTGCGTGTCTCTGGAATGGTTCCAATTGTTTGAGTACTTGTTTGATTAGATGTTATTGGCCACTGGTTTGTGTCTTCTGATAACCAGTCTGGACCTTCCCACCAGAGTGAACATTTAATCAGTTTATTTGGAAGCACACCTCGTGAGATTAAATCAGCTGAATTATCTGATGATTTAACATGATGCCAGTCAGAAACGTTACTTAAATTCTGTATCTCAGAGACCCTGTTTGCGACATAAGTTTTCCATTTATTTGAAGATGCATTTATCCAACAGAGAACAATTTGTGAGTCACACCAATAATATGTTTTATCAATTGTTAATTTTAGAATAGACCTAAATTTATGAACTAATTGAGCTGACAGAACTGCACCGCATAGTTCTAAACGAGGTAACGATGTATTTTTGAGAGGAGCTACCCGTGATTTGGCTGCTAATAACCTGACAGTAATTTGATTATTTTCACATACTGATCTTATATAGATACAAGCACCGTAGCCTTGTTCAGAAGCGTCACAAAATGCATGTATCTCAATGGAAACTGGTTTAGAACAAAGTACATGTCGAGGAATGGAAATGAATTGAATAAATTTTAAAGTGTCTTGGAATTGAAGCCATTTTGTGTGAATATCAACAGGAACTGATTCGTCCCAGTCTAGATGCAATTGCCATAGTTTTTGAACAATGAATTTCGCTAATATTGTGATGGGAGCTAACAGCCCGAGAGGGTCATATAATTGTGCAGTAGTTGCTAATATCGAACGTTTTGTGATTCGTTTTAATAAGCTGAAGTTAGTCACAGAATATGATATAGAGTCCTTTTGAGGATTCCAGTGAATACCTAAGGTTTTTCTAAGCTGTTCACCTATAGATTTTGATTGATTATCTGTTGGTTGACCTATGTCGAGATTACTAGAGAACTTTCTAAGATGGAATCCTGACGATCGTAAAATTTGTGTAATATTTTCTTTGATGAGTAATAAGTTTTCTT